AGAGCGGTACTACCGCTAAGAGAGGTACTACCGCTCCCTTCCTAGCGGTACTACCGCGCTGAAGAGGGAGTCAGGCCACGGGCCCCATAGCGGTACTACCGCGGGAGAGGAGCGGTACTACCGCTAGGAGCGGTACTACCGCTTCTACTGCCGCTTCTAGTGCCGCAAAACTCGACACGAGAAAACATCGTCCCGAATCGAGGCGGCAGTAGGCACGGTACTACAGAGGTACTATAGCCGAAACCCGCGGGCGGTACTACCGCTCTACGGAGCGGTACTAACGCTGAGAGCGGTACTACCACTGAGAGCGGTACTACCGCTCTGTGGAGCGGTACTACCGCTAGGGGGCTTCAGCGGTACTACCGCTGTAGATCGCGGTACTACCGCTGACACAGGGCGAAGCAGGTACGGAGGAGAAGTACAGCTCCAAAGATGCGACAGGAATACGACGGGTGTGATAAGGATGTGTACGTGTTGATTCCACCCAAGTCTTACCAAAGCGGATCCCCTCTTAATAGTACGGTGACTCCTACGAGACTAGTCCACCAACACGAAACGCAGGAGCTACACCGTCTTGAATAAAAACACCGAGAGGAGGACATCGTCTCGTGCCAATGGAAGATTCTCTGAAAGAACTTAACGCACACGATTAGACCGCAAAAGCATTCTCATCAATCACCAAAACCACGAGGGAATAAATAAGCCCTTACAACACACAAGTTGATCTACGGATCGTTCCTTGGCCGTGTGCGGTGCCCCCCTCCACCATATTCCACCTCGGTCATATCGTCGCGAAGCTTAGGCGAAGCCCTGCGCCGGTAGAACATCATCATCGTCACCACGCCGTCGTGCTGACGGAACTCATCCCCGAAGCTTTGCTGGATCGGAGCTCGGGGATCGTCATCGAGCTGAACGTGTGCTGAACTCGGAGGTGCCGTACGTTCGGTGCTTGGATCGGTCGGATCGTGAAGACGTACGACTACATCAACCGCGTTGTGCTAACGCTTCCGCTTACGGTCTACGAGGATACGTGGACAACACTCTCCCCTCTCGTTGCTATGCCATCACCATGATCTTGCGTGTGCGTAGGAATTTTTTTGAAATTACTACGTTCCCCAACAGGGAACTCTACTCAAAGGCAAAAAAGCGGTTGTGAACAATGGTTGCTGAAAGGATACTCAAACACAACTTACTTGAACAAGAAACTAACCAAGTGGCAAGAAGAGGAAATGTCAGACTTATTCCTTGGAAAATGGGGATAGAGTTAGTTCCGGTCCATTAATGCTTAGGCAACATATTGCAGATTCTGGCCAAGAGTTTTTTTGGCATGTGTACTTTGCCCAAAGTGTTTGAATCTTTAGACATCGTTTAAGAAGCGACAGATCCTGGCGCATGAGTAATTGTGGCGAATGGCCATTGCCTAGGCTGATGCGCAAGCCAACTCGGAGAGAAATTCAAGAAGCAAAAACAGAGTGAATTATACTTTCCCTGCTATTCTTCGCCAGAAATTGTGTCCCCCACTCTTGAGTAGAAAGGCCTCGTAGAGCGTCAACACCAACACATTTTAGAGCAACATCTTGCAACTATGTATAAAACCTCTAGCCTGGGCGTCGTGTTTGTAAACACTTTCTTTGTCATAAACCGATTACCCTCCACTTCAAATGGCTCTACCAAGGATCCCACAAAGTTCCTGAAACCAAGTTTCTAAGAAAAGGACCGGTATCCATCTACTCACAATGATTTGAATGTAGAACTGAAGAAGCACAATTTCCTTCTTTGAGATTATCCAAGAGAAGAGAAGCAAGCATCATAATTGCTTGATAAAATGTATTTAGAATAAGAGGACATTCGTGTCAATTATCACGCCTCTGACTGCTGAGGACAAGGTTTGATTTAAAGATATTGTGAAAGGTATCGTTAAACAAGGTTTGCATCTGTTAGTTACGAGGTATACCCCATGGATCTCATCTATCCCCCTTAAACAAGGGATAACGTGGGTCCCGACCTGGAATCTTGACCCCCAATTGTAGTGTGTTTAAAGAGATTGAAGGAACTCTTCCTCGGTCTCCCTCCAAACATACTGGTAATTAGAGCTTCAAGCATTTGGTTCTACTGTTTGTTTTATTCATGGAGTGTAGTTTGGTCCACTTGCTCTTTGGCTGCATTGGCTGAGGTTTGCTCTGTTCAGTTCAGTTACAGAAGAGATGGTATCTTGCTTGTTTCAATTATCCGGGCTCGCCATCAATAGATACATATTTCTCTTTCTCTTTGGCCCAATTGACCCACTTATCTTACAAAGGGCGAAGCCACTGACAAATACTTAAGATTGTGTCAACCTTAGCTATGGAGATAAAGGCCCTGCTCAATGTAAAAAATGGATCTGGAAAATAAGATAGGAATGGGGCACCAAGGAATGATTGTAGGTAGGGATGCCCTTAGATCCGATCTCAATAGCTTGTGATAAGCCAACAAAGCTAGTAGATACCATGCCCTCGCATTAAAGCATCGATCTAGTCCTATATTAGATATGAATTTCCTGTTGGAAATCGAGGTACATACTCCAAAAATCCCTGGTCTTTGCCTTCGGTTACCAACTCGTCTATGTTTAAGATTGTATTCCATCTTCGTAAGGACATAGAAAGGGATTTCGATAGTGACTGCCCTATCAATAGACCGAATGGTCATCAGTTGCCCTCATGGCCTAACACCGTTATTGAGCTCCATCGCATGCTTAAGAAGGACTTGCCGCAGAGCCAAGGCCTATTTATGAGCCAGACATAGAAGATCACTGGTTTCATGCTAGTCATTCTAGTCACAATGAGAACTTCCCCCAAAGAGGGTTCCTATTTCATTTCAGTAAATAGTCAATTGAATCGGTTTCTAACCTAAGGAATGTGTTATATTATAACCAAATATCTCATCCAAAGGCCGGCCTATTTTTCATGAAGTATCATTAACTGACTGCTTGCTTACGAGCTTGGTAACCGCCTTGGAGTCGAGGCAGGCGGATGAACCTCTCGAGCATGGAATCCACTTTCCACTTGTCCTCCATATGCTCGGGTGTGTTGTTTGACCAGTATCTAATGCTATTTCTTACTTTGACCAGACGGGCACTTTTTCATTACGCAGTGAGATCGCCTACTCCTCTCAAAGTTGGCGTTCTCTAGTTCATATTTCATAGGTCACCATAAAAATTCCTACTTTTCAAATTAGCATATTTTCGGAACATACCGAACTTTCATCCCTCATTATGTGTGAAAATTTTTATCATTGTTTCACTACTTCCTCAAACCATTCAATGTGCTATTTCCATCCTCTCATTCATCTCTATACCAGAACAATTAATTAGGCCCAGTCCTTCTATCATTGGCTTTGTTGAACAAATGACTGCAGCATCAAAGACCCGACCCGACCTCATGACCTAAAAGACGAATTGAAGGATCGAACTCACGGCCTCAAAGGCCCAACCAAGTGTTGCCAGCCACTCAAACGAACACATCCTGTTAACCAATGGCCAGCGCAAATATTTAAGAACATCCTGCAGCATTAGATTCAACACATCTTTGACTTTTTTTTGATTTTTTTTAACTATTCATATAATAATAATAATAATAATAATAATAATAATAATTTTTACAATAAAAATGAACTGCCGAATATTCTTGGAAACATGAACAATTTTTTAAATCCTAAACAGTTTTAAAAAATTGAACTAATTTTTAAAGATTCCCTACATTTTTGGAAAAACAAGGACAAAATTTGAAACGGAAAGATGTTTTGAAATTCTTGAACAATTTTCGAAGACAAAAACATTTTTTGAAAAAATGGGAACATCATTTTTCATTTTAAGAAATTTGGGGTCCTTTTCGAGCTAGCTCACAAACCAATCCATCCGCCCTTCGTCCAGCTTAATCTATCCATCCTTCATCCAGCTTATTACTACAACTAGGTTGGCACACATATATAAATTTGTATGACTTTATGTAAAGGAGAAATATGGGGCTGTTTTAAACAACAATCCTTGAATTAGTGAACATTTAAGTAAAACAATAACATTTCTTGAGTTTGGAACATTTTTTAAATGCATTGTTTCAAAATCTCAAACACGTTTTCAAAATAGAAACATTTTTAGAAAAAAATAGGAACATCTTTTGAAATTTGAACTAAATTTTGGAACTAGAACAAAATTTGAAGTTCTAAACATTTCTTAAAAATGGATTTTTTTGAATTCTGAACATTTTTCGAAAATTTAAACAAAAATTAAAATTCTAAAAGTTCTTGAAAAGTTTGATTTTACAAAAAAGAAAAAAATAATAAACTATGAAGGGAAAGAAGGAAAAAACATGAAAGAAAAAGAGAAATTAACAGAAAAGGACAAATAGAGACAGAACAAACAGAAATAAGGAAACCGGCCGGCCTAGTCTTGGTCGCTTTGTTTGAAGCTCTGACGATCTGTTGCCCGGTGCAGCAAATAGGGTTTTTCTAGCTGCATGGGCAGGAAAATAAATGGGCTGGCTTCGCTGTATGGACTTCTGAACAAACCATTTTGTTTTTCTTTTGTAGCACCTAGGATAGAAAAAAAAAACTATTTTGGGCAGCGATCGGTTGAAAAAGTCGAAGAAATTCACCTTTCTTTATTACTCCCTCCGTCCCATAATGTAAGACGCTTTTTGACACTACATTAGTGTGAAAAAATGTCTTACATTATGTGACAGAGGAAGTAGTAGGTAGGTATAGGTATAAATATAGGGAACGAAACTTAAAACACTTTTGCCGGAAATCCTCAATGTAAAACTAGACATTGCAAACCATTTATTGAATTCACAGAACGGAAATTAAGAAATCTACGCGCGCAAACTACGTGGGCTAGTTCACTTGACATTTCAACACAGTACATTCGATGCAGGGTTTGCCTAGCTGGCTAGGCTTGATTATTCAGTTCGTGGATTACACTAGAGGTGGCACACGGACGATCAATCTGGTGTTGTGGATGCATTACATTACAGGCTCCTCCTGACCTCCATGCCATCAATGATGAGGCCGCTCATCTCTTTGTTGGCGTCCTCATGGAGGAGCTGTACAGTCACCGCTCTACCGTTTGAGAACTCCCCCAGTCTGAGCTCCAGCCAGCCATCGCCCCTGGTGACGGGGTAGGTGACACCACGGGCACTACTGGCCCCACGCTCTTTAGGGTGGAGGCTAACCTGGCTGGTAGCGATGGCAGTGTCGAAATGGAGTGTGCTTGCTATCTGCACGGTGTCTTTCAGGCCCGACGTGCTGCCAGCCAGCCTGTACACAAGGTAAGCCGTGTAGCTTGTGGTGGCGACAGGCAGGTCCTTGGGTGTGATCAGCCGAGAGACCTTCAGATAGCACACCCTCAGGAGTTTCGCGCATTCGCCAGAGCTTGTACCATGGAGAGGAGAATACATAATGGTGCATCAGGTTTAATACATGTCGTGTGAGAAAGCCACGAAAAGTTCATTTCAAAGATGGACGGGTGAACCTGGCATCAGGGTCTGGAATCCATCTCCAGTACTCGGGATTGTCAACCCATGCAATAGTTAATGATCTTGCTGGTAGCTTGACGACTGTGCTCTCCGGCCGCGTAGGACGACTCTGCGGTTTCTAAGAAAAATTCAATCATTTTCGCAAAAAAATAAATAAATAAATTCAATCATAAGTGCCAAGTATGCTACATATATGCATTGATCTCCCATGATGTTATGGTATCCTATATATTGTGATAGTGTATATCAATGTTAACACGCATGCAACTAATTAAGTTAACTCATCACAATATCATGGTTAATTTCACCATCTAGTACAATATATGGCACGGAAATAGAATAGTACTTATGGGGTTTAACATGCATGCACATAATCATTAACTGTGCATGCCCATGTATGCAAACACCTATAAGCTGATTCTACGAGCTCGTAGAAAGAAGTTGTCGTGAAGGCGGCAATGGCGGTGGTGCCCTATCGGTGCTTCATAGATAGCGGGTAACCGATGGATGAAAGGCCTCCAACGCATGGACAACGAGCTGCTACTGGATCAGTTTATTTGCCTCTGGGAGTTGCTATGTCCCGGACGATGAATTGGCAGTGCTCCTGCCGTTGCCCTTCAGTTTATTATGCAAGTATCACATCTGATCTGAATCCTGATTTAGTTTTCTCACAAAAAAAGATTCCTAATTAAGCAGGTTAATTAGGGGCCCGGTTTATGGATAATGTTGTAAGGGTGGAATTTGAACAAACAAACCTTTGGCAAGAGAGTATAAATCTGTTTTGGATTAATCTTACGTACCTGGGTTATGGAAGACCATGGAAACGTGCTCTCCAGATTGTCCAGGTCACGAATTACTTCACGCATTGTAGGTCTCTTATGTTTGTCACGGTCCATGCAATTTTGAGCTATTTTGGTGCACCCCGTCGCTCGTGGGCAGCCCGCGTCTATATATTCAGTCCACTGTTAATTAAGTTTACAACTTAATATCAGGACCAACTGACCATAATTATTAGAACATAGAATGGAAACACCCGACATATGTATATTGCAGGCACATTTGTTATGGCGTGATTTGTTGACAAGTAGAGATAGTTTTACGAATATAAATTAGTATTCTAAAATGACGCTAAATTGTAGGAAAATGGGCAAACCTGAAAGCTAGGGAAGGCCGACTAATTAAATATCCTATTCTGCTTCAATGCTAACGGTAACATTATTTATTCGTCAATGAAATTCAGTTCATAATTCTAATTTATATAATATTTTACGCAGATACTCATGAAAGGAAGTAGTGCTCAATATTGTACAATGCAGATTGTGCAAAGTAGTTAAAAAATATATATTTCTATGTAATGATAGTATCTATGAATACGTTTTGCCATAATGTAACAAACTAAACTAGAATATTAAGTCAAATTATCCTCACATTCAATAGACTTATCTTGCTGATGCCAGATAGTAGCTCTACCATAGTAACACCCAAAGCATATATGTCTGACTTTAGTGACACTTCTCCTTTATCAATGGTTTCTGGTGCAATATATCCGCTGCATGCATTGAGGAGATAGTTTATTTGACACATAAAACCAATTTAGAGATAGTTGATTTGAAGTATATATCACCACATAAAACCAATTTAACAAGTAGAGATGCCAACATGCTAGCTTAGCTTACAATGTTCCAGCTTGTTGAGTAACCAATGTGGATGTTCCTTCCTCTAAGAATCTCGACAAACCAAAATCAGTAATTTTTGGTTCCATCTGAGCATCCAACATAACATTTTCAGGTTTTAAGTCACGATGGATAATTTGCTTGTCATGAAGATAGTGCAACCCCTGACAAATTCCTCTAATCATTTTGTAGCGTGCAGGCCAGTTGTCTCGATGAGGTTTCTCTGCAATAGCAAAGGATCATATTTTTCACTCGTGTACATGTTAATTTTCAACGACAAATTAATTAATCCATGGAAATAGATAATTGGTTGTCTCACTATTGTACCCAAACGACAAGTAGGCACCGGTAGAATATGTACCAACTATTTATTCTATGCTATAACTGAAAAGCTGGCTAGTAATTATTTTTATAGTGAATGCAAATAGATAAATGAAGGTGTAAGCTGATGCATCTGTAAAATGGAGGAACGACCACTCGGAAAGCTTAGGACCATATTCTGATATTAATGATTTCTACACGACATGTCTAGCTTGCTGTAACAGTAACAGGCACTAAAACAGAGAACAAATATAAAAACTTGTTCACATGGTGTACTTCGTCTAAACCACAACCATCCATAAAAAGTGAATAAAATCCACAAGATAAAGTAGGTGGGCCACATGTGTTGCACTTATCGTACCTTTCAGTTGATTTCGAATGTTTCCATTGGACAGATACTCGAAACAGAGGAGCATTTCTTTCTGGTTTGCTAAAACAAGTCGACCATTATAGGGCAACATTTCCCCTTTCTGTAAAGCACAGTAACCAAGAAACCGTGCTATATTTCTGTGCTTGACCGTCATGAGACATTCAACTTCATTCTGAAATGGCTTGTCATCATCGGAGATAAGTTTGGAAAGCCTCTTCACTGCAACAATACTATGACTGGGAAGCACTCCCTGTTAGTATGGACAATTGGAGATAAGTTTTTGGTAAACCAGAGCTTACAACTGAATAAGCTGTAACACTGGTACAGACAAATATTAATTATACCATGTAAACATCTCCAAACCCACCACTACCAATCTTTCTCTCCTCGGAGAAATTATTTGTGATTTCTTTCAAAAGTAAAAAATTTATCATCCTTGGCTCCGCATCTTGATGCAACATGTGCTCCAAGTCATTGTAATTCATAGCTTCCCTTGCCATTTTAACTGCACTGTCAGAAAATAGTAGAGAATTAGGTACCAACTATTTTTGAACTTTTAAGTTTAACTAATGACATGGGGATGGCTAGTAACAAACATTAGTATTTCCTAGTGTGGAGGATAATTTCATCGATGACTTGTAGCTGGACATAACCTCAGATTAATAGGTCTCTAGACACGATTTTACGAAGGATTGAGCCCACTCAGATTGTGTAATAGCCTTACTTCTACCTTGGTTGGATAAACCTCGCGGGGTTGTACAAGTAGAATTATAATATGCTGAATCAGCTGAAGAAACTCAACGTCTATGGTGGACGATCTTCATGGTGTGCACTAGATTGCTAGCACTCATATCTTCTCAGGTTGCTTGTGTAAGTTGTGGCCGGTGTGGCCCAAAGCATCATAAACCTTAATACGATCAAGAGACAGGCCGGCCGTGGAATTATAGCTAGCAACATATGATCTGGGAGGAGCACATTAGTGCACTATCTTGAGAAGATTTGTAGAAAACAAAAAAGAAACGGTAGTTTACCTGTAGAAACCTATCCTGCTTGCAGTGCCGCGTACCGATGGGGAGCTTCAGATGTTGGCTAGTCTTGTGATTGGGGCGTTATACCTTCCCAAGGGTTGAGATCTATATATAGCCTGTAGACCTGTACCCAAACGAAAATGTTGAACTATTCTATACGCGGTATGCTGGAACAAAGCTGGACAATACATTATGAAACACTCCTAGTTTGATCGAGCTACTGATTCGGACATGTCAATTTGCAATGTCAACAGTCGAAAAACGACTCAGCGTGCCCCGACGTTACCAAGTTAGAGCAAGTTGAGTCACTAACTCTATTAAAAGCTTCACGTTAAATAACGTCCCAAGTTGACGCACTAGTTGCAGCGTAACCCGCTCGGTGACGTTGCTATCGTTCGCCACTTGGAAGGAAAATTGTTAACATGGTTTAGTGCATTATTCCCACAAAAATGGTTTAGGGCATTATACCTCCCGGTGTTAAGATATCTCACACGGTGTCAGGAACATGACACTGGGCAACGCTAGTCACTTTAGTCCCACCTCGAATATGGGAGGAGGCTAGGACCTTCTTACAAGGGAGAGTGCCACACTCCCTTCAGGCCAGTCATTTGGGATGTGGTTGGGTTTTTTCTTATACTGGAGTGTCCGATGGGAACCGAAAACATACGAACATATGCCGATGGACCGGGAGTTGGGCCTGGGTTGCTAACAAGTGGTATCAGAGTTGGTCCCCACGCCACCCTAAGGGGGACTTCCCTAGGGGGTGGGGTGTTGGGAACCTGACCTTGAGCAACGCCAGCGACTTTAGTCCCACCTCGGATATGGGAGGAGGCTAGGACCTCCTTATAATGGAGAGTGCCACGCTCCCTTTAGGCTGGTCTTTTGGAATGTGGTGGGCTCTCTGCTTATAGTGAAGTGTCTGATGCACATTGAAAATGTCCGAACGCATGCCGATGGACCAGGAGCTAGGCCTGGGTTGCTAACAGGAGCCTTGTGGTTTGGTTGGTCACTCGGCCAGAGGGGATATGAGCCTTGGCGACAGTGTGTGGCGTTTGGTCAATGGGGAGGAGCAATCTCAAGGTGTATACAGCCCGGCCCTCTTGTTGCTCAACCAATTGATAGCTTATTTCGGTACATAATTTGGAGAAGAATATTTTACAAGATCAAGTTTGAGCTTATGCATTCACAAGATTGACTACGTCGGCTCAAAGTGGGAGATGTAGGGTGGATACCCTAGGGCCGATCTTTCATGATTGGAGCGGATCCTACGAAGAACACGAGGGGAAACGTGATGGGAAACGAGAGGGAACACTCGAATCAACGGAAAACAATCACACATGTGCTAGATCCTTGAACTATACGAGTGATACACGATGCAAATGTAACAAAGGACGATACAAGAGGTAACTAGTTCATCTCCGTGAGGAGGTCTTGAGGGGTCTTCCTGTTAGGGGTCTTGAGTCCGCTTGGAGGATCTTCTCCGTAGAGGTCGTGAACTCCAATGGAGAAGGTATCAAGTGGATGAGCAAAGCTCTATCTCTAAAATGAGCTATCACATTGCTAACCCTAATAAGAGGGAGGAGGAGGAGTATATATAGCCTAGGGTCACGAAAGGGTACATGGGCTTCGTCCCAACACGTTGTCAACACACAGGCGTCGGAAGTCCGACAATTACCCGACGTCCGGTGTCTCACAGGGGTTCGGACGTCCGGTAAGGTCAGACTTCTGATGTTTGACTTTGATCTGGTGGCGTCGGATGTCCGGTGGTCGTCGAACGTCCGGAGCGTCGGTCGTCCGGAGGCTTCCATACTTCGGACGTTTTCATTCTGTAATCGTGGTATCGGCCGTCCGGTGGGGCTCGATCGTCCAGGCGCTGGAGGTGTCGGACGTACGGTCGATGTCGGTCGTCCGACCGCTGGAGCTTGCATAGGCTGGGACTTGGCTGGTGCCTCCAGGCGTCGGACGTCCGACATGTCTCGGTCATCCGGTGGCTGGAATTTTTCTGGCAGCTCTTCTTCTTGTTCCTTGTACTTGGCGTCCTCGCTGTCTTGTCCGTTGGGTATAGCTATTCCGTGGCTTCCCTCCAAGCACCTGATCACACATAGGGTCTCCGCTTGAGGTAGTAGCCATGTCTCATATGTAAGGTGGTAGTTCGGAGAGGAGCGAATTCACCTTAGTTTTGATAGCCTTTGCTCGAGCTCTTGTCATTGGTCCAAGTGGTGTCATGGGAGACGTAGGTCGGTCCATGGGGATGACCGTGGGATGCTCCGCATCAGTGGGGGACCAACATTCTACGTCCTGAACCTTTTCGCCAGACTGTCTGATTAGTGAGGCGAGTGCCACATTAAAGTTGTGCCTTGGGTAATTAAACATGAAACCACCTTTTCTTACATATATTTAGGACACATGCAGGTAGGAGTGGTGTTATGACCCTCCCTCATGCAGTCTTGGACGGCGCGCTCATCCATTGGGTCCATGCGGTCTAGGGCGTTGACCTGCGGCGAGAGGGGGTACACTATGGAGAATTCCTCTTGGTTTGTTTTAGGATAAATAATAGTGTCAGACCATGTTTGAGCACATGTGTTCATGGCATTCCCTCCTGCGGCTCGAAGCGGGGGACCGACACTCTACGTCCCGAACCTTTTCGCCAGACTGTCTGGTTTGTGAGACAGGTGCTACAACAAAGTTGTGCCTTGGGTATTTAAACATGGAACCACCCTTTCATACATATATTTTGGCCACATGCAGTTAGGGGTGGTGTTCTGACCATCCCTCGCGCAGTTTTCGATGATGCGCCTATCCGTCGGGCCCGTGCGGTTGAGGGCATTGACCTGCAGCGAGATGAGTAGACGATGGTGAATTCCTCTTGTTTGGTTTTATGGTCGTACATAGTGACATGCCAAACCAAGTTCACATGCGTTCATAAAATTCCCTCCCGTAGGCTCGATGTGGGGGGGGCCAACACTCTACGTCCTAATTCCCATCGTTGTTCTATCCGGCTTCTAAGGCAGGTGCCACATCAAAATTTTGCATTGCGTATTTAAACATCACACTACCCTTCAATAAATATATATTTGGGCCACATGAAGGTGGGGGTGGTGTTCTGACCCCCCCCCCCCTTCACACGATTTTGGACAACACGCCCATCTAGCCCGCGCGGTCTAGGGCTTTGATTTGTTTCAGGATAGGTCATCGTTACCAGATCATGTTTGAGCGCATGCATTCATAGAATCCCCTCCCGTCGACTCGAAGTAGGGGACCAACACTCTAACTCGTGAACCTTCCATCTTTAGAATTGCATGCGTTCATGGGATTCGCTCCTGTCGGTTTGGAACAACTTGTCATTTTGCGTTTTATCCTAATATGGATACACTAGGGGGGGTGTGAAGAGCATAACGGAAAACACCACAACTTTAAAGTGCCAAAATGGTGATAATGAATTAGATAGACAGCAAAATTGACGCATCAGAAGGGCGACCAAACTAACTTAGACAAAATGAGTGAGAACAGGGGGGAAATAAAATTTAATTAGTAAAAGTATATACAATGAACCACATTAAAAATAAGTTTTTACAAAAAATAGGTTATGAAAAAATAGGCCACGGTAAGCCGATTGTCATTTATGGGATACTCGTCTTACAGCTAGCGCCATGACATTGCCGTGTGCAGCCTTCATGGTCGCCACATGGCCATGATCGTTGCCGAGAATCGGGTGTAAGCCGAGTGTCTTCTTGTGATATATCGAGGGTTTTTTGTAGACGGTAGACCTGTTTTTGGACCCACTTGGCTAATACTTAGAAATAAGCCGAGTACCACATGTTTGCCATGAGTTTCTTGTTTCTTACTTGGCTTATAGCGTCTCTAGGAGACCCCTTAAAACGCACAAAACTCTGGTTTACAGTTTTAGGCGAAAAAAGTGACACGAAACTGTAAAATAACTTCCAGAATGTCGTGGATCGATTGGAGCTGGCTCGGGAGGAGCTAGCTAGCTAGCTCATGGATTTGGCCACTTTCGATGCGCTTTGTATTTGGCCGCTGCGTATTTGGTTGTGGTGGCTTCGTATTTGACCATTTTCGTGTGCTGCCCGCCTGCTTTGTAGGAGATCGTGGACACGGGTGAGAGGAAGAAGAAGACATGGGAAAAAAATATGCGAATATCCGATTTTACAGTTTTAGTTTAAGGGCTCTGTTCGGCCGTAGCTCAAATCGACCATTAAAACGCGTTTTTCGCGAACTGAAAACCGCATTTACAGTTCCGCGGTTTTAGGGGTCTGCTAGAGATGCTCTTACATGGATGTAAGTTTAGAAGCCGTGTTTTTGCACTCGGCGTACGCGTGATACACGGCGACGCTGATTTTCCTGTGGTGTGAGACCTTTGTATGGCTTGTACCCAAACGAAAATGCTGAACCATTCCGTACGCGGTATGCTGGACAAAACATTATGAAACACTAACACTTGTAATTGAGCTACG